AAGCCGCGTAGTACCCCAATGATACCTAATTTACAACTTACAAAGGAAGGGGAGTTGTTGAAAGATCTTGAGAAGTATAGGAGATTAGTAGGGAAACTGAATTATCTTACGGTTACGAGGTCAGAAATAGCTTATCCAGTCAGTATTATGAGTCAGTTTATGAGTTCTCCTACAACTGACCATTGGATCGCATTGGAACATATTCTATGTTATTTGAAAGGTGCTCCTGGACGTGATTTGTTTTATAAAGATCATGGTCATCTTAATATTGAATATTTTTCAGATGCTGATTGGGCAGGTTCTAAGGAAGATAGAAGATCAACCTCAAGATATTGTGTATTTGTCGGAGGTAATTTAGTTTCTTGGAAAAGTAAGAAACAAAACGTGGTGTCGCGTTCGAGTGCTGAATCAGAATATAGAGCTATGGCACAGTCGGTGTGTGAATTAGTATGGATACATCAGCTTCTGACTGAATTGAGATTTGACATCACCACTCCAATGAAACTTTGGTGTGATAATCAAACAGCTCTTCATATTGCATCTAATCCAGTATTTCATGAACGAACCAAACACATTGAAGTTGATTGTCATCATGTACGTGAGAAAATACAGCAAGGATTGGTGGCTACAGGGTATGTGAAGACTGGAGAGCAGCTAGGAGATATCTTTACTAAAACATTGAATGGAGCACGAATAGATTGTTTGTCTAACAAGTTGGGCATGATTAACATATATGCACCAACTTGAGGGGGAGTGTTAGAGTATATATTAGTATATTTTATATGCTTGTATTAATATTAATTTGTCATTTACCTTCTCCTTATAGGATTAGGTTAACTTTGTATATTTGTCTATATATATAGACTTTAATAATGAGAATACATCACATTGGATTCTCTCCAACCTTAGTCTCTACAATAACAAAACTACAAAAATCAAGGGAAAGGAGAAGAAACTATGTTCGGCGTGTCAATTGTCTGTCCCCGAAGCGACCTTCACGATCCTGAGCCTTGAAAATCACTTTTCTAAGCTCTCCAATGGTCTCCTTACCCTCCAAATTGGCCAAAAAGTAAACTGCCAAAAAACCTCTCCCAAACTCCCCCGTCTCGGCGGTTGCAAAACCCTATTTTTATAAAAAATCGTCACGGCAGCGCCATGACGCTACACTATTCACGAAACGCGAAATTTAAACTTCGGAGCACCGCGACGCTCTAGGCTAGCGCTATGACCCTATCTCCTCGGGCTTTTGGCTTCAAATCTTGTTGTTATTCCATCTTGGTTACTTTGATTCCGATTTTTCTCTCATTTTGATCCAAATATGTCTCGTTTCCTCCTGATACTTTATTCCTGCAAAATATATCTTATGGGCTTAAATTTGTCATGAAGAAACAAAAACTAATAAATAATTTCAATATAAATCTCATGAAATGTAGCTCGCAAAGTGTGCTATCAATAAGCTACTCGTCCATTTGAACCGTTGCAAAGACAATATGGCAGACCTCAATGCAAAGACAATGAACAAACCATGCTGATTCCATGGGACATACTTTGTTCCTAAGCCAACCATTTTGCCTCCTATTCAAGAGGGTTTGGTTGGGTCTAGGATGAAGCCTTGCAATCAAACAATCAACAAACATGACAAGGTCAACCTCCTCGGTCCATGTGGTATTTGGAGTAAATTGAGGGCATCTGCTCCATGTTTGTAGCATCCCAGCATAGGTAGTCTTATCTTGTTTGGTTAAGGTGTTTAGGCATGTGCTTTAGACACTTTCGAGTATCCTTGAGCTCAAATAATATACTTGTACTCTTATCTTTGGTTGACACCATACCTTTTTTTTTTTTTTTTTTATTTAAGAAACAGAATGATACAAATTAATTACAAAAAGAACAGCCTAAGGGTAAGGGCAAGGGGTAGAGAAAACCCTTCCCCAGAGAAGCTAATATATGAAGGCCCTCCAATTTTGAAGGATAGAGCCTAAGAATTTGCTGAAACTGTAGCACCACCTAGAAGTAGTACGCTGTTCATTACTCCACAAAAAAGGAAATCTGAAAAGGTGTCTTCAAAAGTTTGTCTATCCTTTCCAACCACAAATTCTGCAAAATCGCTGCACCATACCATTATTCCTAGTTTCGCCTTTCTCTCATTTTGGAGTTTTGAATGAGATTGCAGATTTGTGCCAACTAGATGCATAAACACACAAATATTATGTATGTGTATTTATATGTATATATGCATCTATGTATTTCAATTCTTCAAAAGTTCGTTTATTCCTTTCCAACCACAAATTCCGCAAAATCACTGTACCATACCATTATTCCTAGTTTCGCCTATTTTGGAGTTTTGAATGAGATTGTAGATTTGTGCCAACTAGATGCATAAACACACAAATATTTATGTATGTGTATTTTTATATATATACATATATGCATCTATGTATTTCAATTAGGACGCCTATTCAATATGTCTGCATGTATATGGATATATTTTTTTTTTGAATAAGAAACAACTTTTCATTGATACATGAAAAGGAGAAAGGTTCCAGAATACAAACTCCTATTCAATATGTATGCACGTATATGCATATTGAAAATAAGAAAAAGGGGGCCATGGCCTTCTTTGGTCTCAACAATGTTTCACCCCTAGGAATAGCCCTAATTGGTATGGAAGGTAGATGGGGTGACGGTGGAAAGTAGAAAAGTAAAGAAAAAATAATTGTTTTATTCTATTCCTTTGCGTGGTTCAATTTTAATTTTTTTGAATTCTGTTGTTTTATGCTTTTTTGGGATCTACATTTTGTTTAATTCATAATTTTTGTCATGTAGTAAAAGAAAAAATATAAGGAAATATATTAAATTAATGAAAATGTCTAATAAGCTTTCTGTTACTGTAACTAGTAGAAATGTTCTGCAGGGATCTCTTAGTTAAACCTAATTGAAACATCAAAGATCAAACCATAACTTTTTGAAAATCAGGGGCTTAACTGAAACCTCAAGAATCAAAATACAATTTTCTCAAGAAAAAACATATAATACCCATAGAGCTTTTAGACACTCAGGCATTCTGTTTTGTATTACTTTTCACCAGTTCTGTACTTGTTTTAACTTTTTACAGTTACATATTTACTTTTTACTTTTCTATTTCACATGAACGCTAAAACGCTGACAGCATATTCCTTTCATGTTCTTGTCATAATTATTGATTTCAGTATAACATGGACGTGGTCTTTTTTTATTATTATTATTTATTATTATTACTGCTTTTTTCTGGTTTGTATTCAATAGGGTGTAAATATATTGTGAAAGTTTCTTCTTTCAACTGTATGGCTTTTTTGAAACTTTGTTTTCTAGTTTTCTCTTACGAAGCTTTAATTGCAGTTGTTAACCTGACACTAATTGATCTTCCTGGGCTGACAAAAGTAGCTGTTGGTAAGTTAGGCTTCCTCAACTTTTTCTTACAAGTAATTTGAGTTCTTTACTTCTTTTGATTTGAATCTTCTTATGAGTTATTCATGATTGATGACTGAATAAGCAAACTGCACATGAATTCACATATGACTGAGAATATACATTCACTTTGATATGTAGACGGCCAGTCTGAAAGCATTGTTCAAGATATCGAGAACATGGTCCGATCCTTTATTGAAAAGGTAATTGTCAGAGTATATAATATAGTGCTCCTTAAAATTTTTCCTGAAAAGTTTTTTGTTTTTGTTTTTCAATTACTCGTTTGAAAATAGAGGTGGTTTGTGATGGTTCAAAATCAACTTACAGTGTAGCATATAACTATTGTTACAGCCTAATTGCATCATTCTGGCCATTTCTCCAGCCAACCAGGATCTTGCAACATCTGATGCAATTAAAATCTCTCGTGAAGTAGATCCTAAAGGTAAGATGGAACGAAGATTCTCCTAGACTATGTAAAATGAAATATGTGGCTATGTTTCCACCAGGTAGGTGACTTGAGCCAAAACCTGATGTTTTTTTTTTTTTTTTATTTGACTTGGATTAGTTTTAGAAATTAGAGTTTTCATTTATTAGTACATTTGTTTTTTTTGGAATAAGTACGGAACTCTCATTATGAAAGAGAGATTAATAAAGGAGAGATACGATCTTACTTGAACATGATCTGTTCTATAGGTTGTACATCTGTTTCCTTGAGTTCTAAGATTAATAAAGGAGAGATGAGATATCCCCACTCACCAAAATGTTACAAAAAAGGCTCCCAGTTGACAAAGGTTTGAGCCACTCCATAATTAGAAAACAGTTTAGTAATAGAAGACCAAGACAAGACAAAAATTTTAACAAAATCCCGAAAGGTGCTTCTATCTGAGTTACTGTTGCTGAATATCCTTCAATTTCTTTCCTGCCGTATTCTCCGCAGCAAACCTGACACTGCATTGGACCAGAGGATGTTTGCTTGACCTTTCAAGTTCATCCCAAGAATGAGTTGCAAAAACGCATCTGAAGCCTTGTTAGGGAGCACCCAACTGAGAGACTATTCACCACTAGATCTGCCTTTTTGAAATTGGCAGAATGCACACCCCTGTTGTAGGTTCCCCTCATCAACTCCATTTGGAAGTTCAAAATCCCAAAGAAAATTAAGGTTTTTCTTTGGTCAGTGGCATATAGAAGCTTAAACACTCATGAGATGATCCAAAAGAAATGCAAAAGCTGGGCATTTCCCCCTTGGCTTGCAGTCTATGCCTTAGAAGCAATGAGACTATTGACCACCTTTTCATTCACTGCCCCTTTGCCGCAAGATGTTGGTCTTTTATTCTAGAATCATTTGGCATTTCCCTCTGCTTTCCTCAGCAGATTGACGAGTGGTTCCCTGAATTACTCACAGGTAGGTTTCTGCCCAAAAAAGCTAGGGTAATCTGGAATTGTGCTACAAGGGCTCTTCTTTGGCATTTATGGAGAGAACGAAATCGTCGTATTTTTGAAGATAAGAGTTCCACTTTTGATTATTTTTGTAGAAGTGTATAGCACACTACTTCATGACGGTGCCTTAGCTATAGCCAATTTTTTTGTAATTACAATCTTTCCACGTTGTTACAGAATTGGAAAGCTTTTGTATAGCTTCTTTGGATGGGGTTTCCTCTACCCCAGCCCTTAGCTGTTCCCTTTTGAGTTGTTTTAATACAAGGTTTCTTATCTGAAAAAAAAAAAAGAAATTATTCAACAAGTTCACCCAACAATCTGCCACGAACGGGTAAAAAAGGAAGATATGTGTTGAACTTGTTGCTGGGTGAACTTGTTGAATAATTTTATTTTTTTTTTTTGGATAAGAAACCTTGTATTAAAACAACTCAAAAAGGGAACAGCCTAAGGGCTGGGATAGAAGAAACCCCACCCAAAGAACACTTGAAAATAGAGAGGAAATAGGGAAAATGCTTGAGAGGAATGAGGTAGCTATCGTTAATGTACCGCCTCTGCAAAGGAGATTAGCTTCCCACCTTGCTAGTTTCCTTGCCACTCTCTCCTCAATGGGATCCCAGAAAGCCAGCTTGCTGTCTTTTCCTCCCAAAGGCATACCCAAATATAAAAGGCCAAGATCCTACCTCCCCAGCCCAACAAATATGTTATAGACAACACCTTCCTCTTCTTTGACGTTCAAACCAACTACCAGAGACTTAGCCAAATTGACCTTCAAGCCTGAAATCATTTCAAAACAGCACACCATATCCTTTCAGTTGGATAGCAACTCCCCATTGTCTGCTGAGAAGATCAAGGTGTATTCCACAAATTGGAGACGGCTCACTTGCAGCCCATTGGTTCCCACTTTAAAACCTTCCAAGCAGCCTTAATTAGCTCCTTTTTCCAGCATCCTGCTTGGCACATCAGCCACTAACACAAATAAAAAAGGGGCCAAAGCATCGCCTTGCCTCAAACGTCTTTGAGCTTTAGACTTTCCTCTCGATCTTCCATTGATCAGAATGGAGAACGAAATATAGAAAATGCAGCCTTTTATTCAAGATATCAATTTTCTCCAAAAGCCTTTCTTGTGAAGGATTTCAAGGAGGAAGTTGCAATCCACCATGTCCTTCATTATCTTGAGTATCTCAATCCACCATATCATAAAAGTCAATATTTACAATGTTGCATCTTTCTTCTCCTGTTCTCTCAACCACTTCATTGGCAACCAAGATTGCATCCAAAATTTGTCTCCTCCTTTAGGCTGCTTGCATAAGAGATAATGTGATGGATGGGTAATTTTTTTTAAGATCCTTAGCTAGAACATAAGGAGCACATTGCTTACATCATACAATACAGACACAAGTAGTCAGGACAGGTACAGGACATGCAAGGATACATTATCAAAATATATTATAAACTAGAGGTAAAATAACCATAAAATAATAAAAAAAAAGAAAAAGAAAAGAAAAAGAAAAGAAAAATAAAGACAAGAGAATGAATCTTTGTATCTTTTTTTTAAACAAAGATACAACTTCTCATTGAAATAATGAAAAGATAATACAAGTGTTCAAGGATACAAACTCCCGAAGAGTGTAAAAAGAAAAATGAAAAATGTAAATAACAAAATTACACATAATTAATAAAAGCTCCCCAATTAGCATAAATCATAGAAGGAGAGTGATGCGTAAAAGAGTCGACAAGAGAACACCAAAGAAAAGCTTTAAACTTAGCTGAAAAGAAGCTTTCATCGTAAAGTCTTCGTTTCTCTTCAAATAATCTTGAATTCCTCTCGGACCATGATAGCCTAAAGCTTATACAAAGTCGTTTTGATAACAGTGTTATTATTCTTATGTGATTTACTTTTCTGTTATCTAGCCTCCAATAGGAGTGCAACATCTGTACCTCTCCAGCTCTATTTAATATATGTTGAGCCCAATGTTATACTGGTAAATCTGATTTCCATATCCTTTGTGTCGCTTCTTTTCCTCACAGGTCGTACAAACCACAATTCCGATAATAAGGCTTTGACAACATTTAACCATAAAAATCGAACTGAAGAGGAAACATTTAACCATGTAAAAGCTGATAAACATTGTCCACGGCCTTGAGATCAAAACACCAATCCACATTGAATTGATGAAATAACAGATTCCAACACTTAGAGGCATAAAAGCAATGAAAAAATAGATGGTCATGATCCTCCCTACTCTTTGTACAGAGGCAACAAAAAGAGGGAAGTAGGGCAGCAGAAGGAGATTTCTTCTGAATAATATCTGCCGTATTCAACTTTCCTTGAGAAAGAATCCAACAAAACACATTAACCCTTCTTGGGCTCTTGGTTTTCCATAAAGCAGCAAAGAATTCCTTGGGCATCGATGCATTTGAACCAAATCTTCTTAGTGAAGTAACTGTAAACAAACCAGAAGGTTCAAGACTCCAAAATCTGCTATCTATTGTATCTGAAATGCACAGCAGAGCAGATTTAGAGCTGATAATAATGTAGAAAATTCCTCCACTTCTTCCTCTTTCAATGCTCTTCGCAACACTAAATTCCATGAACTAGTATTTGAATCCCAAAAGCTTGATACCACACCATCAAGATTGATAGGATAAGCAGACTTCAAAGGCTCTTCACTAACCCAAGTAGAATGCCAGAATGATACACTTCGACCATTTCCTACTTTAAAATGTACCAAAGAGTTGACTGAATTCCAATGTCTAGAAATACCACTCCAAGGTCAGCGGCTGCAAATATTCGAGTTTGATGGTAGAAAACCAATTTAATGGCTCGGAACCATACAAACTTTCCACCACTTGTCTCCATAAAGAGGAAGATTCATTTCCAAACCGTCAGCCCCATTTGGCCAAAAGAGTTTGATTTTTCTTTAAAAGTCCACCAACTCCTAACCCCACATCCTCCAATGGTAGTGATGTGATCTTCCAATTAACCAAATGCCTCATTTTACCGGTGTAATTATCTTTCCAGAAAAACTTCCGTATTTCTTTTTCAATCTGTTTGCAAACTGCGCATCTGAAGAAGAGACATATAGTAGGAAGGAAGGTTGGCCAAAACTGATTACAAATTGTTAATCTGCCATCTCTCGATAGATGGAAACGTTTCCATCTATCCAATTTCTTATGAATTTTTTCCAAAACTGGTAGCCAAAAGTTAGTACTCTCAGGATTTCCTCCTCATGGAAGGCGTCTTTGTATCCTTAAAAAGGTCTTAAAATCTCTTCTTACACCTACTACATGGGTTACAAAGACATGAGGACTTCAACTCCCAATATCATGCGTTACAAAATCATAAATTTGGAGAATCAGTTCTATACACAGAATGTAAAACATTTTGATTTTTGAGCTTACATTTGGTTCTTTCTACCCCAGATGGTCTAATTTTCTTGTAACTTATTCTTGGCAGCTTCCTCTCATCAGTATAAGTCAGTTTTAAGTTTCAACTACATTTTATCTGGTAGAACCTCAATGCTTTCTTGGGTTTAAGAAACAAATATATGAAAAAGAGACAAATAGTAGGAAGGAAGGTTGGCCAAAATTGAAGTACAAAGTGTTAATCTGCCACCTCTCGATAGATGGAAACATTTCCATCTATCCAATTTCTTATGAATTGTTTTCCAAAACTGGTCGCCAAAAGTCAATACTCTTAGGATTTCCTCCTACTGGAAGGCCTCTTTGTATCCTTAAAAAGGTCTTAAAACCTCTTCTTACACCTACTACATATCGGGTTACAAAGACATGAGGACTTCAACTCCCAATATTATGAGTTACAAAATCATAAATTTGGAGAATCAGTTCTATACATAGAATGTAAAACATTTAGATTTTTGAGCTTACATTTGGTTCTTTCTACTCCAGATGGTCTAATTTTCTTGTAACTTATTCTTGGCAGCTTCCTCTCATCAGTATAATTATTGTTTTAAACAAAACAAAGTAGAAATACATATATTTGTTTCTTAAACCAAAGGAAGCATTGAGGTTCTACCAGATAAAATATAGTTAAAACTTAAAACTGACTTATACTGAAACAGCTAATGGATATACATTATCTTGGACATCAGGAAGCCTTAAATTAATATTTATATTTCATTATAATTCCATGGAAGCTACTTGCATTTGGCTTGAAAACTATTTTGTTTTGTAGCCAACTACAGCATCCCCTTTTATATTACGTTCATGAAATCACTAAATTTCAGGTGAGAGGACATTTGGAGTTCTGACAAAAATCGATCTTATGGACCAAGGAACTAATGCAGTTGATGTAAGTGTAATGGCGTGAAAATTTTAATGCCAGCTTTTCTATTACTTCTCACAATACTGTATTTTAGATGCATGGAAGTTTTTTTTCATTTTTTTTTCTCTCTCTTTTTCTTGTGATACAGAATAAATGTGTGTAAAGTGTATGATTCATTGTCTTATAGTTTTTGGATTCTCCTCATCAATATTTGTATAATTATGCGTTAAAGAAGATTGTAATAGTGTCATAGATTATTCATATTGGATTTCTAGTGGCTGGGTTATGATTTTCAGCATGTAAATATCAGGTTTCTGATAAAAAAAAAGTAATCTCATTACTGAAGGAACTCTCAGAGATCTGCAAATATCCTTTTGTAGTATTGGAATTTCTAGTATTTATTTATTTGTTTTTTTTTTAACCAGATACGAACTTCTTATTCATAAAATGAAAAGAAAAAAATGTTTAAAAGAAACAAACTCCAAGGAGTGAGAACCCAAAAAAAAAAAAAAAGAAAAAAATCTCATTGTATTTTTCAGAATCAGGACTCGGGAAAGATAATTGGATCTGCAAGGATGCTTGATGATCTTTACTACTTTGATGAAGGTTCTTTTAGTAATAAAATAACTCAGGGTCTTAGTAGTATTAGTTCCCTTTCGATTAAAGAACAAATTATGCTTTGACATCTCAGACTAGGACATCCAGTTTTTCTTATCTTAAACATTTATTTCCAAATTTATTTAAGGGAATTGATTGTTTCTCTTTTGATTGTGAAAGTTGCATTCTAGCAAAAGATCACCGTTCCACATATTTCCCAAAACCTTACAAAACTTCCAAACCGTTTTATTTAATTCATAGTGATGTTTGGGGTCCCTCTAGAATTAGTACTCATAGTGGAAAAAGATGGTTTGTTACCTTTATTGACGATCATTCTCGTCTATCTTGGGTTTATTTAATGACCAAAAAATCTGAGGTGAACGATATTTTTAAACACTTTTATAATATGATTGAAACCCAATTTCAAACCAAAATTTGCATTTTACACTCTGATAATGATACTGAGTATTTCAATGAAATTTTTGGTGTTTTTTTGAAAGAAAAAGGTATTGTTCATCAATCCACTTGTCGGGATACTCCTCAACAAAATGAGATTGCTGAAAGAAAAAATAGACATTTACTTGAAGTAGCTCGTGCTATAATGTTTTCCATGCATGTTCCGAAATATTTATGGGGGAAGCCATTCTTACCGCTACCTACCTAATAAATAGGATGCCTAGTAAAGTGTTAAATTTCAAAACTCCCATTGAGTGCTTTAAATATGTTTTTCCGACGTCTCATATTTATTATGACCTACCTCTCAAGGTTTTTGGGTGCACCTCATATGTTCACATAACTGGTCAATCTCGGTCGAAACTTGATTTTAGAGCTATTAAATGTATATTTTTGGGTTATTCTTCAAGTCAAAAGGGTTATAAATGTTTTGATCCTCAGACGAAGAAATTTTTTATAAGTATGGATATGTCTTTTTTAGAAAAACAACCCTATTTTACCCAAAATTCTCTTTAGGGGGAGAAATCAAATGTGGAAGATAATTTTTGGGGCATTTCGATTCCTCTTTCTAGTACTATTTCTCCCAATTCTACTAGTCCTTTGATACCTAGTGTAGAAACTTCTCATTCAGGGGAAGAAATACTACGGGATGATTCTACTCATCAAGTTTTTTAGTTTAAATTTTATTCTAGAAGAAAATTCAATCAAATAAATGAAGACCAAATAGTTAATCCTTCACAGAGCCAATCTGAGACTCCAAGAAATGGAATTGAAAATACTGGTAACCTATTCTATTCCTACTTCTTCAACTATTACACCTGTTGTCTCTAACCTTGATGTTCCAATAGCAATTAGAAAAGGTGTTTGAAGGTGTACTAAATACCCTATTGCTAACTACATCTCATACCAAAAGTTATGAAATAGTCATAGGGCTTTCACATCTAGGATAACTGATTTGTTTGTTCCAAGGAATATACATGATGCTTTAGGAGATCCAAATTAGAGACTAGCAGTTGTAGAAGAGATGAATGCTCTAAAGCATAATAATACTTGGGAGATAGTGGAGCTTCCAAAAGATAAGAAACCAGTGGGTTGTAAATGGGTGTTTACCATAAAATGTAATGTAGATGGGACTCGGGAGTATTGATAGATACAAGGCTAGATTGGTAGCTAAAGGCTTCACTCAAACCTATGGGATTGATTATCAAGAAACATTTGCTCCTGTTGCCACAATTAATTCTATCAGAATTCTTTTGTCTCTTGCAGTTAATTCAGATTAGCCTCTTTATCAACTTGACGTGAAAAATGCATTCCTTAATGGTGATCTCGAAGAAGAGGTTTTTATGAACTTACCGCCAGGTTTTGAAAAGGAGCTCGGATTTAATAAATTTTGCAAATTGAAAAAATCTCTTTATGGCCTCAAACAATCTCTGAGAACTTGGTTCGAGCGGTTTGGAAAAGTCGTATTTAGCTATGGATTTCTTCAGAGTCAAGCTGACCATACTATATTTTATAAACACTATAATAATAAAATCTCAATTTTAATTGTCTATGTAGATGATATTATTCTCACTAGTGATGATGAAGCAGGACTAACTGATCTTAAGAAAAATCTTGCAAGTGAGTTTCAAATCAAGGACTTAGGAACATTGAAATATTTCCTAGGGATGGAATTCGCAAGATCAAAGAAAGGTATCTTCGTTAATCAAAGAAAATATGTTCTTGACTTACTTGGAGAAACAGGCCTACTTGGTTGCAGGATTGCAGAAACTCCTATTGAACCTAACCTGAAATTACAAGTAGCTAATGCAAAAGAAGTAAAAGACAAAGAAAGATATCAAAGACTTGTGGGAAGATTGATCTATCTATCTCATACACGACCTGATATTGCCTTTTCTGTAAGTATGGTAAGTCAATTTGTTAATAATAAGAAAAGAAAATAATTCTTTCTTGATTACTCCAAATGATTGATACAAGATTATATAAATAACAGTCACAAAGAAGAAACTAAAACGAAATTCTTGCCTATTAGGATAAAGAAATACTTACCTATTAGAACAATAAAACCCTAACCTAAATAAAATAGGAAACCTTTAAAATAAAATAAACTATAA